GCACCAATAAAAAGTCAGCCCTATTATATTAATTCTAATAACAAAAATCATCAAATATGGATGGATTAACCATTGGTTTACCATCTAAAAATACGAAGTAAGGAGAAGTTTCAGCCCAACAGCTCATAGGACGTAAGGTTCTGATTGCTGTTAAAAATATAATTTAAAAAAACACAACATAGACAAGATCAGTGTAAATAGAATGGCGTTAACATTTTTTCGATACCTTTTGCATTTCCGACAATAAGAGATTTTGAAAAAAAGGGCCACCTTCACATGTTTTCACTGATATCTCGGCCAAATGATAAAATGGGGAGTTAAAAATTAATATTGTATTTTTTCGAAAAGACCTCTAAAATGGCATGAAAACCATTTAAATACCAGGGTGGGGCCGATTCTGTATGGAAACACGCCCATACCCTTTAGTATGTATATATTACTGAGTTTCAAGCCTATTTTATAATTCTTTTTGCATTTACGTAGGTTATGACGAGCAACACTAAAACCGAAAATGAGGTGGATGCAATCAAGCATGCTCTGATTTCGACTGCCGAACTGTACACCGAAAGACCTGATTTATTCAAACTTTTTGGTTCATTTAAAGGAAAAGGAAACTTATTATTCCCAGTATGACTAAATATATGATTTTATGCTACTTTTATACCTTATGTCACATAAAAATATTCAAATTTACATTAATTATTTTAGGATGATGCAACAGGCTTGGAAGCGCTGGAAGATTCCAAAACATCTTACACAGAATATCAAAATATTGTTAAAGAAATTATGTGTTCATAAAGAAATTTCATACTTAATTGTCATGTCATTTATGAAATTATTCAAATCACAAATTGATTAGAATTTGTATGTAAGTTTGTGTTATGTTTATTTATCGTGACGGCCATTGATAAATAACGGCCATCTTTCTTGACGGAGAACATGTGCTAGTTAATTAATTTACATTTCAATTAAAAATTGGTAATTAGATGTATTAAAATTATCCTTTGAATAAACCGCTCGATTAATTTAACATATCACATATTATATTATATTATAAAGATCACAGTGTGCTTGAAAAAAACGCTGATATATATATGTATATATATATATATATATATATATATATATATATATAAGATTAATTAATACATCAAAATTTGTAAACTTCAATACGCACATAAATTTATTTTGTTAAAATTTCACAAATGAAATAAAAGTATTTTAATATAAATAAAACGTACAAAATATTCCTAACATCCCTCTCGACATGGATTACTTACATGCAATAATGTATATGATAGAAAAATTATTTATTCGCAATAATAGCAACAAATTGGTATTTCTTTCATTCAAGTCCCCAGACAACACAAGACATCCTGGAAAACGTCCACAGGATATCCACGCGCGGACATTCATTGTCCCTGCGATAGCCTTACGGATATCCCGCTTATCCTGATCTTATCCGAAACATGTTAATATGTCGCACCTATGGGACGTTCTGTAGGATATCCCGCGCGGGATATTCCGGACATAAACCGGACATGAATAGGATATAATTATGGAATTGTTTTTTACTTTTTAGATGAAAAATAAATTTGGATTAAAAATAAAATAAAAGAACACAATTTCACAAAGTAAACTTTTATTACAAAATAACAAAATCCTGAGATAATTTTATAACAAAATTTAATATATACAACTTTAATTCAAAATAACTTATTTTACAATATTAAAAATATAATTAATTCGGCATTCAATCCTAGTTCATGGTTGATTTTCTCTCCTGAAATAGAAAACAAATGAATAAATGCATATATATGTATATATATATATATATATATATATATATATATATATGAGTAAGTTCTTTAAGAGCGATACATTAATCAAAATAGACAGAGATTTATAAAATAATCACTAATTCCAAATATATCGACACAATTTGATGTCATTACGAGTGAATATTAAACTTGGTTTTTTACATCTAAAAATGTGTACACAGCACAAATTTTGCACTAACATTGATACAACTAACCAGTCAATAATCATGATTTTTTTGTGAATAGGAAAAACATATAGTACACATCTCACAAAAATACCTTGTATAATATTTATTGGCACGTCGCAGCCAGCTTTTTGCAGCCTCTGAAACAGTAAACTATGTCTCATGCGGCAAATTTTTCAAAGCAATTCCTGGAATTAATTATATATTAGTTTAATTCATAATTTACAACACATCATAAGTATAAGATATATAAATTACCTGTGACGACATCGCAAGGCACTAGATCACAAAATTTATTTTTGCCCTTTCCTCGTCCCTAGCAAAATTCTTTGGCCAAACCATCATCAAAAATGGATTTTCATAGCTAGACTCTGATGGCTAAATACAGAATCTAAAGAGAAAGTTTGTTTAGTATATGATAAAGTTAACAAATAAAAATAAATCTATATAAACTTTTGATTACCAATTATGTTTTGATATCTTTGCTCAGAAATATAGCCTCCACAAGTTGAAGCTCCTCCAACAAACATAGTGGAGAGCATTTCTTCTTTGTTAATTCTCTTTCAAACACAGCATTTGATACAAAATTAGGCATGGTTGCTGGATAAGCTGGCAGGCATAGAAATGTCAGCATTAAATTAAAAATTCTATTTGTACTAGTAACATAGTATTTCAAATAACAGTATACAGAAAGCTTTAATTACCATCGTTTATATCTGCCCCCTTTTCAATATGTTGGCTGCAATATTTATAACACACGCGCACATATAATTATATAGAACACATAAAATTTCCACTATTATTACTCCATTTTTGAGTATTTTGATAAATAATATTAATTATTTATAACACACGCTCATATAATTATATAAAGCAAATAAAATTTTCACTATTATTACTCAATTACTCAAAGCGTCTGTTTGATGACGCTAACCCTAACCTTAAAGGGCGCAAAACCGACGCGACGAAAGAGAAAGGGACAAACATATACGTTTAGAGGTCTCAAGCCGTGCGCGTATGAGAGCGTATGAGTTCGTGAATAGTGCGTTATACCTGCTCGAGTCCTTTGGTTTTGAGACGTCCCGTTGCATATTCATAGGATATTCATAGGATATCGCGATATTAGGAGATTGTGAGGACAAGTGGGACATTCCCTGGCATGTCTTGTGCTGTCTGGGTCATGGCGCTGTTTTTTTTTAACTTTCCGTGGGGTAGTTATAGTAATGGGCCAAAAATCGAAAATGAAAATTTTTGCATTTCTCAACGTTTTGAAGGGTTCTGAACATTTTAGCATACCTCAGAAAAAATGAATGTGTGTGTATGTCCGTTTTTTTTTGTCCACATTTTCGGGCGCACGGATCAACCGATTTGAATGGTTTAAAAAACATTCGATCCCTATTGATAGGGAGATGTGCTGATTATGATGTAAATATTGAGAATAACAACTTATATTAAGTATTCTTAACATAAAAATTATTATACCAATATTTGTTTTCAGAAAAAATATTCAAACACTTATTTCCTTGTTACCTCTTTTGAAATATTTCTGATTTTGAATAGTTTTAAAAAAGTAAGAAAAATTGTACTAAATCTGAGCTATTCCACATAAACTTAAAATATTTATTTAATTTAACAATTTTAAAACACATTTGAAAATAAAGCTGTCACAACAGACATTTTTAACCTGAAAACAACCGTCGTCAATTTTGGCGTTTGACATTTCTAACCTCAAACAATTTAATTCAATTTTGACGTTTAAAGCAACAAATGTATGTATTAAAATTTGTTTTGGACTAAAATCAATATCACAATGTGTTGAAAATGTATATAACAAATATTTGTTTAGAATTATGCCCAACACTTTGCCTTAATATAAAAATAATTATTTTGTACTTACCTAAATCACAAAAAACACACTTTAACTTTAAATTAATGATTTAATTATTATTACAAGAAACTTGTTCAACCAAGTCTCAGATAACACAGACTGTTTATTTTAAAAATATTTACAACCGAAATTAAACATAGAACACAATAACAGAGCATAGAACACAATAACATTTATATAGACTGATAACATAGTTTTCAGTATAAACATACAGCAGTTAAGTTTAGTTTAGTCAGTTTAGTTTAGTTTTCTTTCTATTTCTATCATCTGGATTTATAAATTAATCTTATATATATGTACCTGCTGAGGTTATAGTGTCTTCCTTATGGCATTGCAAATGCTTTACATTTTATGCAGAATAATTTTTTTTCACTATCAAGATCACTTATGTAAATAATGCGATTATAATGAAATATGGGCTACCTACATACAATTATTAATTATTTTCTCTTCTGCCATCTATTATCCCCCTATTTAACCCTTTCATCACCAAGTCCCTAATAATACACATCATTCTTAACCAAGGTAAAAAGGCATTACCCGCATTCAATTTTATGAACTAACATTTTGAGTCCAAAAACAACTTAATTTTTACTTTCTCGGGTATAGCTCCCTGTCCTTGAAAGCCAATTGTGAAAACCAGATGAGACTCAAATGTTCCTTTCTTCTTTCAGCGACTACTATTTTTATTCTAAAAATAAAGAATATTATTTATCATGAAAGGAATGAAATTCTCTATCAGTCAAGAAAACAAACCAGTTTTTGAAAATTTATATTTCACATAATGAAAATGTCAGATTAAATAGTATACACAACTATGTAATATATTACATTTGTTAAATTGTAAATAAGATATGTTAAGCATACATTAAACAATAAAGATCAAAATGTTACAATGTTTACAACAGAACTCTATTTGCAATACTTTATTTACACGAAGCATTTCTTAAATTATATTTAATTTAAATATAACCTGTATAATTTAAGACTTTCTTTTAGTCTATAGTACATCAAACACTACATAATTTGAAAAAGTAAATATTTGATTTGGTTTTGACTAAACCTTTTAAAAATTAAAGTACTTAGTTTCTACGAGATATTTAAGATAAAAATATATTATATGCAGTTTTTCTTTCCTATAAAATAGACCATGTTGCAATTTATACATATTTTGTTTGCAGAAAAATTAAGAATACCTAAATATCTTTTGTCAGAAACTATAATTTATCAAATTTTAAAAATCCAATCCACCATCTTGCCAAGAGTCTAATTTAAACTCAAATTGATTTTGTTGAGGATTGACAGCAGGTGCAATTCGAGCATCCTCTTCCTCACTTCCAAAGTAGTGCTCAATAATGTCAAATGCTTTCTGATAGATTTCCATATTAGCATGAGATTGAAGAAATTCTATTTTGTCTAAACCTAAAAATAAAATTTCGTATCACAATTTGATATACATTGGCCAATACATCCAATTAAAACTAGTAATGAACTAGTTGTAAGTAGCATTTTGACTTCAGTCAAGTTGCAAAACTTTCTCAATGAGTGTAAATAATCAACATAAATTGAGATTTTTCACTTTTGAAATTGTCACAAAAAATTTTGAAAATTTGGCGCGGATCGTTATTCCAAACATTGCTAAATTTTTATAATTGAACCAATTGTACTATAATTCTACTATAGAATTATCAAAAAGAGTCTAATAAAAATCATTTCCGGCCAAATCTTTACCTTAAACTAATCCGCACAATTATCAAATTATAATTCTCAAACAGTTTTTGAATGAACTGATAATTCGGTACTTTTCTATTATAAAAGAGCTATTTGCCTCATTGTTGACCGCCAAATGACATTTTTTTAAACTTATTTTTGTTTGTTGAATTATTAAAATCGGACGCCGCGTTCTCCGAAAAACTGAGTTACCGTTTTTGGTACTTTTTGCACCGTATCTTCGGAACGGCTAGACCTGCCTTCGCCAAAAACTAATCAGCACGCCTCCTTATCAATACGAATCGAATGTTTTTTGAATTATTCAAATCGGTTGATCCGTGTTGCCGAAATCGTCGACGAAAATTTGTATCCGCACACACACAACACACACAGCTATATAGAAATTTTCATTTTCGATTACTATAACTTGCCCTACGGGAAGTTTATTATATCAAATGGCTTTTAAATATTTGTCTGTAATCCCACACAGCCCAGAGCGTCACCATTACTTGACGGACGTAATGCAAACGTGTACGGGTGAACAAGGATTACAAGCGACAGTATAACAAAGTTAATATTAAGAGCTAAAACTTTCAAAAAAAAATTTTTATCATTTTGGAAGCATTGGAGTCCCTGGGAGCAAAAAAATCTAAAATATCCATATTAAGGTCCACCCTAATATGTATTAGAGACGCTTCTTTGGCTCATATCTTAAAACTCTTGTGTGTCAGGTTGGGATATCACTATAGGTAATAAAGTTTGAATTACCATAGCATTCTTCTACAAAAACAGCATATGTATTGACACCATCCTGACTTCCTGCTCGTAAAATATTTTCCAAGCCATTCAGAGCAACTTGAACAATCTTGGGGTCCATAACTGTTAATAAATCACACATGGGTGGTATACAGTTTTGCTTCACAAGATAGTTGATTTGCTCATGTGTGCCACCACTTGTTGCATTTGTTATAGCCCATGCTGCTTCCTATGGTAAAATAGTTACTTTAGAACTTGAGGCAGACATTGAAAAAGAACCATAAATTGAATAGCTTACCTTTCTTGTTTTATATTCTGCTTTAACTAATATATCAATAAGTACAGGGAATATATTTGCATCTATAACAGCCTGAAAAATAATAAACATTGAAGGATTAACAAATTCTAATTTGATTAACTTAAATATTTATATTGTTGATTTTTAACTCTCACCTGTATTTGCTCTCGATTTCCAGCAGTTATATTAGAAATAGTCCAACAAGCTTCTTTCCTAATCGATTCTTTTTGAGAGCCAAGCAATCCAAGTAAGCAAGGTAAAGCTGAACAATTTAAAATAACTTGAGTTTGCAAATCATCTCCAGTTACTATATTTCCCACAGCCCTTAAAGCTGCTGATACCACATTGTGTTGTGAATGGCTGGAAAAAATTATATTTCATAAATTTCAAGCAACATATAAACAGCGAATAAGAAATTAAAGGTGAATTTATATTATATTCAATAAGTAATAAATGATACATACGTTAACAGCTCTACAAGCCTTCGGCATATTCCAGCGTCAATTACTGCTTGTATCTTGTCATTGGGTCCATCTGATAAGTAACTTATAGCCCAGCATGTATCGCTCAATACGTCAGCATCAGTGTGAAATAATAATCTAGATAATATTGGTAGTGCTGGAGAAATCTAGAAAATAAAAATTTAACAAAGAAGTTATTAAAATATTCCTTAATTAAACATTTTTTTTATATACCTTATTAAATTGTGGAGGAGGATTTTTACTTCTACAAAGATTTGACATTGCCCAAACTGCATTTCTCACCATTGAAAGTCGATTTGAGTTTGATAATAACCTATGATATACAATGTTGATATAAATAATATTTTTTTCTTGGCATTTTGCATGATTTATAATAAGTATGTAGTGAAATTTATAGTATATAATCAATAAGCAGAAACAAATTGCTAACAGTAAGAGTAATGTGATAATTTTATTTGCAACAAATAAATTTTGGATAATTTATAAATAACAAGAATGAAAAAAAAAACAGATGATATTGGGCATATAATTAATATTCTACATTGCTATTTTATTTCATTTCACTTGCTATTAAACCTTACCTAGGACTATATAACATTAAAAACTAACAAATACATAAGAATAAGATTTTAATTTATTTAAACTCACTGCAATAAAGGAACAAGAATACCAGAGTCCAGAACATGATCTCTACATTCAGGAGAATCACCAGCAATGTTTCCGAGAGCCCATATTGCCTGTTCTTGAACATCAGGATGATCACTACCTAATAAGGAAATGAAAACTGGCACTGCACCTGCATCAACTACCATTCGTGTTTGCTGGGATGTACCAGATGCAATATTGGTCAGCGCCCAAGCTGCCTCAAACTGAAAATTAAAAATCATAACATGTTTGTACAGGTCACGTTGACATAAAAAAGACACATCAATATAACACCTAATAAAGTGCTTCTACACCTAACACCATATCAAGTACTTCAATATTAAAAAACAAAATTTTGCAAGTAATAAAAATTAATAGAAATATTTATGAACACTTTACTAATTATCTATATAAATATATTTACAGAATTAATTTAATGTGAAGATAGTTTTAACAAACAAGCTGAAATACATGAAACAAAGTAGTCACAAACAAGTAATCAATTGCTTTTAAAATATGTGAACGAAAATGAATAACTTCATTCAAAATAAAAACTAACCTGAAGAGTTGGAGCAGGTGAAGTTCTCAGAAATTCTACAAACTTTGGTACAATTCCAGTGCGAATAACATCCTCAATTGGAGGATTTGGTTCTCTAGATAAAAGTTTCCTAAATTTATGTGTTGCTTGTAATTGTTCCTCTAAATTTCCATTATAAAGAGCTTGGACCATATCAGGCGTTATTCCTGAGCTTTCCATTATAGGTTCTATATCACATTCCTGGAAAGAGGTGTACATAAAAGACATATGATATGTTTGAATATGTACAATAATTTTATATCATATAGTTTGGTCTTTCTATGATTGTGCACATAACAATTAATGAATATTAAGCATGTTTAGGTAATGATACTAATGATTCCTTGAAATTTTGCTTTTTTTTAGAAAATATGGATGTTTTATGTTGTGCTTTCAAAGTGAACTTACAACATTTTTACACATTGCATGTAATATTCCTATTGCATATATGATGAAGGTTTATATTGTTTAAAGATATGTACCAGATTAGGCAAATCAGGGTCATCTTCCATTGAAGCAGCAACATTTCTTCTTTTGGATAACTGCTGTTCTCTCTTCAATTTTCTTATTTGAACGCCTTCTTCTTCCCGTCTCCTTCGTAGCTCTTGTGAGTCAACCCCCACAATCTTATATCGATGCTTGTGTGTATCCCCAGACATTTTCTGAATAAATAGAATGCTCTTCGTTGTAAATGATTAAATTAATTTCAGGTTAATATGGATGACACAAAAATAGCTTTTGTTTTAATTGATTACTCATATATTTAGTATGTGAAAGGCATATAAAATGTGAATTGTCATAGAGCCCATTCCGACATGCATTTTTGTAACGAAAATGATTCAACTAACGACGTTTCTAGAACTATATATATGTAAATATTAAAAATGCACGCATTCTTTTTTAAATCTAGACTCGTACACGTATAACGTTCTGCTGATATTTAAATTAATTTCAAACTGATGAATAATATTCACAGGAACTATGCAAAATGAAAAATAATCGATGTTTGACATTTCAACATATCATATACGGCGAACACATATCACAGCGTGTTATCAATACTTACAATAACTTGATTTCCACACTAATAATATCAACTTTCTGAAAATAAATTGTGAAACAGCATTTAATAAAATAATTTTCACAAAAATTAATAAAAAAAAACTTTCACGATCTTCTAAATATCCTTCCACTAAATATCCACAGAAATAAACGGCAAACACAATCCTTCTTCGAAAAATAAAATTGGCCACCTACAGCAATAAAATGTCATTAAATGAAATTGGTCAAGTTTGAATTTACTAATTCGATGCCTGAAAACGGTATATTTTGGTATACTAAGTTTCATTTATAGTTATGTATGTATGTAAAGAAAAGATATTTTGTTGAATAATTGAAAATTTTACAATTTTATGTACATGTATTATTTATGTAAAAATGTTATAATTTAAAAATGCCAGACAAATTCATTTCGTGTTATATGGGTGGCATGCATGGTCCACGTGAAGTACAATGTGCGTTACTACTTTGCACAATATTAAATGACAGCGTTATAATAAACTATTTTAGGGTTTTATTAAATACGAAACCCGCTTGTTTTGATGCCTATGTAGATTATTTAATTTTATTCATATATATATAAACTTTAGACCAATAAAAATAGTTGTAAATATGGAATGCCCGGACTACTTGGAATTTCAGGTTAGAATTGACAATATTCGTACTAAAAGGCTTTATTATATTAATTCTTTCTTTGCAGGATGTATTGAAGAAAATGAGAGAAGTTGACGATAAAATTATATATGCTTTAAATGTATCAATCCCAACAGAATCATTTAAACAAGAAATAGATGCTTCAAATACTTGTAGAGAATTGTATGAAGCATTGCAAAGTGGCAATAATAAACGAGAGACTGCAATAAAAAATTGTATTAAGGCATCTGCAGAAAGACTGAAAAATTTAAAAGAGCAACGTGACATAAATGAGGATGATTTTGGTATTTCAAAAAATTTAAAATCTGAGCAAAGAAAGGTAACTGGCTAGAATAACTATTTCTGTAATAGTCAAAATCACTAATAAGTATTAAATTGCAGCTCCGACTACTGCAATCAGAATTAAGTGTAGAAGAAGTTCTTCGACAAAGAACAACAAAGATTTTTAATGAAAGATGCAGACTATTCTTTAAACCGGAGGTTTCATCGTGAATTGTTGTAGTTTGTTATATGGCTTTGTGCAATTTTTGCTCCGATAAAACCCATCATACATATAAAATCAGTGTTAAGACAGAATGAAAATGTTGCATTTTAATATTGTAGTTTAGAATAGATTGTTAATAAACTTTATAACTTTTCATTGTTTATTTATTTTGATATCAATTAATTCCATCCCTTTGCCATTGTCTTTTTTGCCCACTTCTAGATTTTTATTCGATTCAGGTCTGCTTTCTGTTTGTGCACCATTATTACTGTTATAGAGTAGCATTAATGTTCCAATGGCCATAAAAGTGAACATAATATTTGCTCCTATAATTCGAACTTTTGAGCGATATTTATCAATCGTTTCTGCCCTGAAATAAAGCTCTGGTTAAACTCAGATTATCAAAAATAGTCAAATATTTGATTTTTCATTAAAAACTATTCAAAATTAACCCTTTGCAACTGAAATATAAACCCAAAGGGATAATGTCCCTTTACAAGAAGTAATTGGCTTATTGTACTATGAAGATATGTGTTCAAATAGAATTTAATATATTATTTCGTTTTATTTTTTATTCAAAACAATTTATAGTTGATGAACTCACATTAAAGATTCAGGAACCTCTCGAACATTATCAAACTGACCATATGCCACTAATATGTACTTCTCCATGAGTGAAGGTGATTTGTATATTATATCTGGTCTGTTTTCAACTACCCTAGTTTTACTCAAACGCTTTGCATTAAATCCATATTTATTTGTTGATAATTTCATACTCTAAATTATATAAAAACAATATTTGATATATGACTTGCAGAAAATATAGAGAACAGAAGATTTCTATGTTCCAAAATAAATCTCATCTCTCAGAGAATATAGATTTGAAAAATTGTTATAGATATAAAGATAGATTTAAAAATTAGAAATTTTGTTTATAACATAATTAAATTATATTAAGTTCATAGGTAACACATGTCACACTTACATTCCTTAGCCTCCTTATTATTGTTTTACAAGCCATAGGTAATTGTTTCATTGATCTCGGACTCATTTTTAAAAGTAAAATCAATATATAACTACTTACATTTATTTAGCATTTGTACAGAAAATTTAACATAATATAAAAACAAATGATATTCTGACATTTTGAATGTACATTAGCGATGCATTTGCATGTGTGTTGAATAAATCATTTCTATAATTTTCTATTCAATTGAATTAAAACATATTTCTGCATATTGGGCATGTGGATTTATTGCTAGTGTTAAACCATTTGTACTGAAAATACCAATAATATTATTAATCAATCTGATTTTAATATCACATCAATAATTAAATGATACTTACTAAACACTGTGAATGAAACTTTTTTCGACACGTTTTACAAGTAGATTTTGGGAGTTGATGTGTTGAGGCATGAACAACACTGTAACACACATAGCATTCTTCGACACCATCAAATCTTTTATCAAGATTGTTCTTCCATTGTGTTAAGCCATCCCAAATATTTCCATTCTATAATATAAAGTAGCAAGTGAATATTTCAAATAACACAGAGAAATGCAGACATTAAAGTAGGGCGAAAAAAAAGTTATCAAATTATTTTCTATTCATAAGTTATATTTATACTCTATTAATAAGACATGTGTAAATAAGTGAGATCACACTAGAATTGAAATTAATTGACATAAGCACACAATTTTACCAAAATGAATTATTATATATAGTCTATAACAAACATTTAGAAGAAACGTCAGTCATTTGCACAAACAGCAAAAGAATAGTAGTATAACATCAACAAGCTTCAGAAATGATCACAAAATGGTACTCAGGTGTTCATTTCCACCACCTATCAAAAAAGATTGAATATGACACCATCAGCATCTCTATTTAGCACAATAATAAAAGTAAATAATAACAATCAATAATACTAAAGGAATCGTTATCTTGTTTAGGACAAATTGAAAAAGCGGAGCATGCTTTCTTCAAATGAACACATTTTAGTGCGCAACATGATAATAGAGACGGCGCCGAATAGAGAAAATACACCAAATTCTCTAGTGGAAATGATGCTTATTAAGCACATTAGCAAGACGAGTCCTCATAGACTTGCGCCCCATGAAAAGGAGAGCAAATGACGCCAAGTCGAAGAAAGGATAAAGATGAATGAATGATAAATCAAGCAAAAAAAGAACTGAACTATTGGGGCGTATGGCATCTTGCCTTAAGGCAAATTGCAGGAACTTCCCTTACCGTAAATGAACATTCGAAGAATAAAAATAGTCAGTCAACAAAAATGTCTATGAATAAATATTATGAAAAAATTATAAAGAATTTTCACTATTTGTGAACATGTTAACGTGTCACGTTGACGGTGACACGCCAACCAGCTGAGCTATAACGACATGCTCACGCACAACACTATGAGCGGATGTCTAGGATCTAATCTTTTTGCCCTGTATCTTCAAAACGGCTGTACCTGCATTCGCCAAAAACTAATCAGCACCTCTCCTTATCACTACGAATCGAACGTTTTTTGAAATATTGAAATCGGCTGATCGGCGTTCCCGAAATTGTCGACGAAAATTTGTATCCGCACACAAACACACGAACACACATACACACACACACATCAATTCAGTTCAGAAAGCTTTAAAACGTAAAGATATATAGAAAAATTTATTTTCAATTTTTTTTGGATTACTTTAATTTACCCTACGGGAAGTTAACTAGAACCTCCCCGCAAAAAATAGTAGATAACGATAGCAATAGAAAAGCCGAGGTTTTAGCCTGATGCGTGAAGGCATATCATTCACTATATAAAAAAGTATTACAAAAGTCAAAAAAATGTTCATAATAAATGTCGCCGGACTTTATCCTATATAATACTCTTGTTAACTAGAGCGTCGTTCATTAAATATGCGATCCTTTTTCAACCGTATCATAGCATTATTTTACCCTATCCTAAAATAAAAAATATTTTACCTGATGTGTTAAAAACAGAGTTAGTTGTCTGATCCAAGTTCTCCATTGAGCTGTACCACAAATTTCTCTTCGACTCATAACTTTCACTGGTCCAAGTGGATAATTATAAGGTAACGATATTAAAATTTCCATGTTTACTTCATCCACAGTATATATAGCCAAAACTTCACAGGCAGCATTAACTTTCACCTAGCATTTATAATAAATTAATAATGAGATATAGAGTTTATATTTATATTTATAGCACTCATTTAAATTTTCATTTCATTAAACTTTATTCTTACCTGCATATGTTCATCCTTTGTCTGATGATTTTGAACTGCCTCTATTTCTTCTTTACAAATTAAATGTGAAACATACGTAGTTGTTATTTTATCAACGATGTTTGAAACTCTACTATCAGATGAGTTCCACCACTGTCGTGCCAAAGCTGGCAACAGGCGTAATGTATTGCAATAAATATAGCAGGCAAGATGTTCCAAAATTACTGGAGCACTATCTACATAATTAATATTAGTTACACTTTAATTGAATATTTTTAGTATTGTTAAAATATGCCAACAAATATATCACAAACTGATAATTATTTTTTTAGTATTAATTAATTACAGATATAAATATAATTGAGTTCTATAACAACAGACAAAAAAATATATGGATTAGAATACAATTCC